TGCAGTCGTCGCGCGAGGTAAGCGGCAAAAGTAAGGTGGTAAACAGCAACTGTGTGCGTACATGTATATACGGCGTGACTGATGGGAAATCTTTGCGGTGCAAGGTGTGTTTTGGGGCGGAGATGCAGGAAACTCCAGAGACAGAGCTTTTCTTGAGGGGCGGGGGGGGGGGAAGGGAGTTTAATCCGGCTCGCGTGTCTTACGAGAAATGGTGGATGGTGGGGTGTTGGGGGTCTGGTAATTTACACTAGAGTGCGATGGGATCCGGTTGGCTTAGAGGGAAAAAAAAAGAAAGAAAAGACAAGCGAGAGTGCAGAAGTACATAGTTCATGTTTAACCGAGAAAATCAACGCAAGCTATATAGTTTTGGATGGTAGAAGATTATTATGGTTTTTTTTTTTTTAAAAAGGTTTTAAAACAAATTTTTTTTTAGAACTTGATTGAAACGTTATAGCTGAGGTTAATATATTGATGCTGAAAGATTTTCGGTGAGTTTTTTTCGTAAATTCCTCGAAAATCACCATTTCTTTTGTTTATTGTCCATACGAAAAAAAAAAAAAAAAATTTTTTTACAATTATAAATAAATTTAAATTGATAAAAATTGACAACAAAGTGATGCATATAATGCCAAAAATGATGTAAAATGTTCTGATGGAGAAATGATCATATTATTCAAACGTAAATATTATTTGGACATTAATAGCCAAGTTTTATGTTATGTATTTCATTGTATGCAATATAGGACAAAGATTGATGAAAAAAATGTAAAGTATGAAAAAATTATGAATTATTTTTGTTAAGCTATTTATGGATACTATTCTAAACGTAAAAAATAAATTTTTTGAATAATCAGGAATTGACAATTCCAAAGCATCTTTGAGTAATCAATGTACGAAGGATAGATTATTCACGTGTTTGGCAAAATTAAGCACCTCCAAAATTATCGTGATCCACCAATTAAAAAAATTTCCAAACTACTCTAATTATGCTAACTGTGCCCCACCCTAAACGATTTAATAGCCTTTTTAAACTTTTAAACTTAAAAAAAAAAAAAAAATTCTTAACTCTCAGATCTTATATCCTTTTATCGTTCTGAAAAAAAAAAAAAAAAATCACGCACGCATCATCCTCGATCCCCAGACAGACAGCTCCTCTCTCAACGTCCAATAAGCAGGTGGGGTCGGTAGACAGTCACGAGTGACGTCCACCCGCGATATTATTTTCAATATTGCGCTTGTAAAAAGAAGCAGAGAGCAGCTACACGAAAGGTGGCACTGCTACAGTTGATATATGTATATATCAAAGCGAAATGAGCACACTCGCAGCCCTAAATCTTCAATATACGTGTGCACGCGCGACTTTTTCGTCACGCGCAGCCGAGTATAATCGTATCTCGGATAGTCATCCACACATACACACCCACAAATACGGTCAGCAGGAGCGGCCACACATACTATATGTATATACAACCCGTCCATTGTGATCGACACAATGAGCGCTCCCACGAGGAGGAGGAGGAGGTGGAGGCTCGGGCTCAATTCCGCGTGAAGTATGGCTCTATAAACGGCCGGGCGCCGTATAACTGCGTAATGGATATCCGCCCTCCCCCCAACCCCCACCTTCACACTCGTGTACCTCTCGTATCGACCACTCAACTCGCTCTCCAACCATACGGTGCTTCAACTTTCCAAATGAACCCCTTGAGTTTCCGTGCTACGCGATTTTTCAAAACTATATAACTGCATCCGTCGACTATTTTATGGAATTTTACAATAATCGTTTGGTTTTTTCGAAGACTGGAGATGGAGGGTTCCTTTGATTCGAAGATCATCAATAGATGGGTTGGTACACGGTCGCAGAGGTTTTTTCTTACTAACGTTTTCCATGTGCTGTGGAAAAATTGGGTAAACGGTATTATTCTCGAGTGATTTTTTTTTTCTCCCCCAAGACGTACGCGAACCTGGGGTTGCGATTTTCGAGGATAAAAGTGGAGGCTCGTCTGCCGTATTGCGGGCGTCCGCAGGGAAATCGAGTGGAGTGATGATAAAGCGAGATTTAAAATCCAATGCCGGAGGAGCCTCTGTCCGAGGAGCGTTAAATTTTCAAGTCGTTTCTTTCTCTTTGGACCAGGGGCAGAAGGGTATTTTGTGATTATTATGGTTCTTCAAAGGTATGGGGGGAAAATGGTAAAATTTTCATTTTTTTTGAGAAAAAAAACTACAATGTATATGAAAAATTTTATTTTGTGTGCTTGGATACGGTTAACCATGGAGAACAAGATTTAATATTTTATCTTAAACTTAATGGATTGATTTATGTTTTTAATTTTTAAATATTGCGCAGGTAAAAAATTTGACAATTAAAAATATTCAATCAAAAAACCGTAAGTNAACTATAAGTGTTAAAGAGATTATTAAATAAATGTATTATTTGGCAAGACAAAAATTTTTTTACCAAGTAAGAACACACTGAATATTATTATAAATATTATTTTGGGTGTAATCAACAATTGGTTAGCTAACCAATTAAAATGGTGAAATTTCTACTAGTAGAAATTAATAGTAAATATTTATTATTTAATAGTAAAAATCTACCATTTCCAAGTTACAAGCATACATTTTAAAAATAGTGAAATTGATTGTCACGCTACTAAAAAGTTAAATTTCACTACGGAAATATGAAGTCACTATTAGAACAGTGTATATTTAACTTATGTGATTATTTCAAATTTAGAGAGATGTCTAAAAAAAACCTAACCCAACTGGAAGTTTTTCTACATTTGCCATGTTACGAAATAAATTTTTAGACATTGAAATCTCAACTATGGTATTTGATTCTCAAATAATGTTATCGAGGTTATGCTTTAAGTACCCAAAAAAATTCTTATACACATAAAATGATGAAAAATTAAATAAAAAGCTTTAAAAAAATGCCATAAAAAAAATTTGAAACAAAAATGAATAAAAAAATTTAGTATTTATTGATGGATCGTCTACACAAATATCAAAGAACCCCAGTGTTTTATTCATAAAAAAAATGTACATTAGCTTTTCCGCATCAAACCAAAACCCAAACATTTGAAATAAACTCCCGCTGAAAGGGCAAAAAAGGGACCAACTTTTGCATATTCATGTATCACTTTATTTATATTTGTTCACCACGAAAAAAAAAAAAAAAAATTCCATCCGCGTGCAATATCCTCATTCCACCTTTTAATTAATCGAGCTTCCATCTGTCTCCCTTTCGTCAGTGGTTATATTCGAAAAAATCCGCGCTTATATTAAATCAAGCCCCGCACACACGCAAGCGGGCGTGCACTCGCAAGAGCCAACTAATAAAATTGCAGCGAAGGTAGGCAGCGGACGAGCATCGAAAAAAAAAAAAAAAAAAAAAACAACATTCCGTCCGGCCCTTGCTCCCGCAAAATTTCCCAGCGGTCGACCGGTGTACGTCCATTAGGTATTTTCGGCCATTTGCCTTCATTACACGCGGCGTATACCACGATGATGCGGCCGGCCGGCTAATTTTTTTTCATCAGCGACCAACTCCACTGCTTTTTATATTCGTGCATACACACAACGACCGACAGTTCACTCCCGTCATCTGGGCCACTGCAATTGTAAAATAACAATACGCGAAAACGACTGCCGCGCGTTTTATACCCGAATACCGTGTACGTACATAGCCGTTTTTTATATGCCGATTGTTCACTCGCTTTTTTTCCAACTTAATTGAATTGAAGGGTCGAGAACAATGTTTTTTTTTTTAGCGAAGGGCAATAACTGAATACGAAACATTATTTTTTTGATTACCTTATAAAACCAGGGTAATGACAAAATGTAATTTCATTGTTGGCTTTTGGCAACCTCATCTGTGTTGGACAGTGATTTTCATAAAAAAGTGAAAATAAGGTTTTAAAATGTTTATAATATCTACGCCAAGAATTGACATCAGTTAGCAGTGCTAGCCCGGGAATTTTTATAATTTCATTTTTTATCAGTACATGATTCGCGGAAAATTCGCGGAACACAATTTTTTAAAATATCTTGTATAGTCTAGAGAATAAGTTTTTTTTTTTTTTTTTTTTTTTTTATTTACGTCTCAAGATATTAAAAATGTCACCCCAGGATTCCATCTTGAATTTTTCTCCAAATGTAACTTTGTTTCTCGTTATTTTCTAATTACTTCAATGCAAACTTAAATTTCTCGGTTAATCCTCAAGTTTACTGCGCAACTGCATTTTTCAAGCTAAGAGATTTTTGCTGCATTTAAGTTGTCGCGAAAATTTCATCGAAAATTTTGAAAGACGGGACTAGATTTCCACTTGGCTGAACAAAATCTTGCCACGCTATTTCCCATTCGAGATGACATCATCTCTCTCCTATGTAACTTACACAAGCAAAACAACACTATACCGCATCAACATCAGCAGTGACGCAGACGCATTTAGTTGGAGCAGCAAACAAAAATTAACCCTCGTCATTTGTCACAGTCCCACTTCCTCGTGTCCTACCTACTAACGATCTCCGTACATCTTTTTTATTTTCCTTTTTTTTCACCTTATTGTTCTCACGGAGCGCGATTATCCCGCGGAATTTCAACGCACACACACGTGTATAATTGCGCTGCGAATTAATAATTTAACGGAGCCGCTTTCCCTTTGTGCCCCATTTGTACGTGCACGCGTTCTCGCCCTCTTTTCTCTAGGCTTGTTTGTAAACCATTAGGGGCACCATCAGGACACGCTGTTTATTTTTTCTCGTCGCCTATCCTTTGTCTCTCTCTTTTTTCCCTTTTTTTCCTACCTACGACTGGGACATTATTTATTTTTTGCCTCTCCGTAATTCTCCATTTTTACAATAATAAGCGTTACCACGAGTGTGCTCGTATTCGAGTGTTACACATCGCGACAAGAGCACCTATTGGAGCATGGAACAAAAAAATGTTTTTTGGATGAAAAAAAAAAAAAGCTTTATTGACAAACGTAGTGTATACAGTATTAATTGCCCGAGGCATTGAGTAGCCGGAGGACGTAGTCCTCGCCAAGCTCGATGATGCCCCGACCGGTTTGGACGCCGAATTTGGCGACGTCCTGGACGGTGTCGATGTCACCGATGACGGTGCCCTTGGCCGCGTCTATGGCCTGGTTGACCACGCCCTGGGCGACACCAACTGCATCATTGACCGTCTGTCTGGCCGCGTCGAATATCTGATCCGCCTTTTCCGCGATCTGGGGCACTGGAAGGCTCTGGACCTGAAAGTTTTTCATTTTTTTGTTGTCGTTTTTTTTTTTTTTTTTTAAGTTAAGATTTGAAAAATTTGGGGAGTGTTTCTAGAGGATGCAGTAAAAAAGAATTAAGGTATTGGATATTCAAGCCAATGAAAAATGAGGAGAATTTCACTTATCAAGCGTTATAGTTAGGTATTGTCTTTTTCAAAAACATCGGTCTAACCTACAAAAAAGTTCTGCCGTTCTTGCGACATACAGACCATGATCTTTTGGATTACGTAATTTAAAAAATGAAATATCTCAAGTTCCTTACTTGCGTTGGTAAAGATATACTCGTACAAACCATAAATTATTAGTTTTTGGTAACCAATAGTTAGAGATTTTGAGGTGTATGAATTTTAAACTGTTTACATAATGAACACATTGATCTATAATAAGAAATCTTAATCGGATAGAAAAAGACGGTATAGCCTATAAGTGTTAAAGAGATTATTAAATAAATGTATTATTTGGCAAGACAAAAATTTTTTTACCAAGTAAGAACACACTGAATATTATTATAAATATTATTTTGGGTGTAATCAACAATTGGTTAGCTAACCAATTAAAATGGTGAAATTTCTACTAGTAGAAATTAATAGTAAATATTTATTATTTAATAGTAAAAATCTACCATTTCCAAGTTACAAGCATACATTTTAAAAATAGTGAAATTGATTGTCACGCTACTAAAAAGTTAAATTTCACTACGGAAATATGAAGTCACTATTAGAACAGTGTATATTTAACTTATGTGATTATTTCAAATTTAGAGAGATGTCTAAAAAAAACCTAACCCAACTGGAAGTTTTTCTACATTTGCCATGTTACGAAATAAATTTTTAGACATTGAAATCTCAACTATGGTATTTGATTCTCAAATAATGTTATCGAGGTTATGCTTTAAGTACCCAAAAAAATTCGTACAAAAATAATTTTTTTCCAACCAATTCGATACTTCAAAAGTATACAGTTACAAATAGTTAAAAAAAAAAAGATTACTTTTATCATTACACCATTCAATTGGTAGCACTTACTTCTTTTCTTTTACGTAATTGTATAACCATTCGAAAAATTAAAAAATACTTCTCACCCGAGGAACGCAACAAATGGCGATGAAAAAAATAAAAACATAACACTTAACGAGCACACACATGACTAATAACAGGTGTTCAATTTTTGTTCTCAAAATATACATGCACGTGTGAGTTGGTGAAATATGAAAAGCAGACTGAAAACAAGTTACACAAAAAAATGCCTTTCCAGTGTCCACTCCTCTGCATAGAGACATTTTTTTTTTTGCTTGTTCAGTGACCGAGACGCTTATAATCAGAGCAAATGACTTTTGATTGCCCTGCAATTTAGGATCCAATCATCGCGATTTGTCTCGTCGAATGAAAGAAGTGAATTTACAGATTATGGGTATACGCGCTCTATCACTGAGCCAACATTTTTTTCATTTACAGATCGTCATTTATTTATTCATCGTCGAGGTTTTCTCGAAATAATTCGCCAGCCATGAGCTTTTGTGTCAAGGCGCCAAGGTCTAATTTGAGAGAACGAGACTTAAAAAAAGAGTCTCAATCAAGTACCATTGTTGGCATCGCTTACCTTTTTAATTCGCATATTTGCTAAATAAACAAGCCTAAGAGAAAAAATAAAAAATCCATCACAATTTACCACTCAAGAGCAACTCCCAAGACAATCTAGCTACCGCAAACAATACGCGAAGGGATGGAGAGAAAAGCCATAACATCCGACCACTTCAGACCGACGTCACCGTCAGATTCATCATAATCCATAGCGCCCCCTACAAGTATATATTTATACCCACCCTCTTCACGACCCGTCCTCTTTTCCACGCTCTTCACCGACATCTTCGTCACTCTTTTCTATAGAAACCTTGTCGTTTTTTGTCACCCCATTGTGTACCCCAGCGTCGCGCTCCCTTTTTTCCACCTACTCACCTGTACCCATCATCCATCCCTCGATCTTCCCTCCCTCCCCCTTTCAAGGTTTTTCTTTTCATACATATTCGCGTGCCTTCGCTGCTACTTTTTTCTCCGTCTTTTCTTCTTCTCTAGTGCTCAAAACGATAAATTTCCGATGAATTCTCGTCTCAATGTTTCATGGACAACGAGAAATTCGTGCAGAAATAAGCTCTTGTTTTCTTTCAGGTGCAAGCACTCGAGAGAGAAGTAAGCGAAAAAAGTACATGAGTGAAAGGAGGGATTCGTTTTCAATGGCTAAATTCGTGTCTTCATAAGTTGCGATTTTCTTTTTCAGGTTATACTATACTGGTGATTTTATTAAATTACTGAAATGTTTATAGCACAATAAATAAATACAGAATTTATTAGAATGGTTTGTACTATTAATGAAAAGTAGGCATATTACCGTATGAATAAAAGTGATGATGTACTGATGAGGTTTTGTTTTTTAGGATGGCATGATTAACTCGTTAAAATAGAAATCTACCATATCGACAATGTATATTTTCTCCGTTGTATGAAGGTTATGCGAGAGAGTTTAAGTAAACGCAAATACACAATCATTAGATCAAGACGTTGTCTATGAAGTTGTGAGGTTTTGAGCAAATATTTCAAGATATCCATAGGTCTTAAATTGAAATTCCTCGCATGTGGTTTACTGAAATATTTGCTTAAAATTTCACAAGATGGCGTAAAAAATCTGTAAGTGGCCGATAGTCGGCTTTTTGATGAACCATTTTAAATGACGTTGATACAACGGAGAAAATAAATAACTCCGGGTTTTTCTATCAAACAAGTTGATCATTAAATTTCCTTTACCACCGTACTTCGCTATCTCCTTCAGTAATCGTGTTTGTAACGTAAAAGGAAACAAAAAAACTAGCGATTCCCGCCAAAGAAGTGAAAAACTGTCAACAGTGGCCTTTTCAAAGTAAAGGGCAACGAGCGATTTCCATTTCCCAGCACGTAAAGATAAAAGAAAGTGTGTCTCAGGTTTTTCGCTGAATTTCCGACCAAGTCACGAATGCGGAGGAAAATAAAATCGACAGCGACGAGGGAAAAGCACACACACACACGTCACAGGCCAAACCCGATTGAGGCTCGCTCGGCAAAGGTACCTGTGCATTATACATAAACACACGTGTACTTTCCACATACATTCTGGTTTTTTTTTTTTTTTCTCTCTTCTTTTCCCCGGCAACTTCAGTTTCGTTAACGCGTCGCGTATTTCTCTCTGCTTCCGTTTGTTTCGCAGTAGAAGTTACTGCACACCCCATTTGGGAAAACGTCAAGTGTGTGTACGCGCACGTACGCGCGCTAATCATTGATTAAACAGAGCCGGGGCTCGTTATTAAGCCCTCGTTTGGGGACACGGTAATTTTGGTAAAGCTCTCGTTTGCATGGGGCGGACGAGCGGACATTTCATTAAAAATTTCGCGAGCCCAACTGAATTCGGGTGTATACATCCATGTGCTCACTGGACTGGAATTCCCTGGCCTTATGCGATTCGGGCTTTTCGCTTTTTGACGTTATCGACGAGGGCACTCTGTTGTTGTTGCAATAATCGAATATTGATTTATTTTTTTGTAAATACATAAAGTATTGAGGGTTTGTTTGAGGGCGGTAATATTTTCAACCCTTAGGTTTTTATGTTACAGAACAATGACACGAATGTGTGATAAAATTATATCTAATACCCATAGTTATATCCGAGGGGCTGCACACTCTGGAGTCTTTTGGAGATTTCTGCAGTCATTGAAAGACTTAGAATGACTTATAAAGTCTTTTTTAATGACTTCACGAGTGTGCAGCCCTTCGGTTATATCTTAAATAGCGTACGACACTCAAAAAAGAGTGAACTGATGGTTTAAACATTTTTTTACAGTTCATTTACCAAACAAAGCTTTTTCGATTATTACGACTGATACTTTATCATGCAACCTGTTTCATAAATTAATTTATAGTCCATATTTAGTTGTGGTTTATAATAAATTATTAATCACAAAATGTTTTAAGTACATTTATTTTTTGGACATTGGTAACGTTTCATTCATTTTTAAACATGCATTGGTATGACTGCACGTAACTTTTAGATCGATAGTTTGGTTAAAATTTATTTATTACACTTGTTTTATTCCACAATTTCAAAAAATAATTAATATTTTTAATGAATTAAAAATAATAAATAAAGTGTTGTATTATAATAATATTCGTCTCAATTGTAACCAAGTTTTTTTTTTAATGTTAAAACATTTCATCGTTAATCTGCACTCACGATCGGAATAGATCTTCATAATTTTACACGAAAAACAAAATATTATTATACATAAATAATTTTATTCTTCCTTAAACGAACAATGGATCCATACCAACCCAAGCACTCTAATATTGAATTAATATAGGAAACCCATATCACATCACCATTTTTTCGGGGTTGACATGGGTACCTTATTTATAAAACATCAATAATTTCTCCAAAACTTATTAAAAATCACGAGATTTTCTTTCGTTTCACAACAGATCAAATTTTCACATTCTTTTGCAAATAGACCGATGGAATTTATCAAAAAAATCTGAGCTCCCACGTACCGCGATGAAGACGAAGAGACACTCTCAGAGCCCATTTGACGCTCCACCTCTCTTGGCAAAGTGCAAGTACGAACGTAAATTTTTTATCAGAAAAACCCCGTCGCGTAAACGTAATAGACTCCCCAGCGCTATATGCACGTACCCTCTCAGCGATTACAGTCGAGGTGATGTTTCACTCTTATCGCGCCAACGAACCCATTGCAACGCCGATGTCGAAGAAAAAGGGATCAACAATCGACTAAAAACGCGATAAAAATATATTTAGATTTCCAAAAAAAAAAAAAAAAAAAAAAAAAAATTAACGCGAAGGGAGAAATTTTGTGGATGATTTTCACCCCATGCGCAACGCAAGGTCCGCCGGCGTTTCGCGAAGATCGTAAAGCCGAAACTCCACCCTACTGCACTACAAAACCGAGATATTTATTTCACCCCCTTTTCTTACTCCCCGAGGGGGAGGAAGAGAGGAACAGCGCGAGCGACAGACATGAGAAACGAGCAGCTTCCGGCTTAGCGAGCCGGAAATGGACTGTGCCGTTTCGCTTCTCTCGGGAGGAACGGGGGGAGGCCGAAAGGTCGGGCGCGCGTTGATTTCCAATGTTTCGGGGGGTTATTAACATTTTGCGAAACTTTGCGTATACGTGTGGCGCCTTGGGTAATACGCACGGTTTCTCATTTGGGGACTGGCGAACTCGTGGTTTATTTTCGAAAAGTTCGAGTGTCCATGGTATTTTCCGAGGGAAATATTCTACAAGGGTCGGAGGTTTCGGCGGAGTCGCTTTTCATTTCCGCGAGAAAAAGCTTTCGAAAGCACGGGCGAGTGAATTCTACATCTGTTGTGTACAAAGGAACGTGAGAGTTTACATTTTGTATGCGAAAAACAGATCAACGTAGAAATGCAGAAATTCATATCTGAACATCAACTTTAATCTAAGATTTCACTTGTACTTTTGGCGCTTAATTAAAAGATCACCAAACTAAATGTACAGTAATTTTATTTATTTTTAAAGCAATGTGCATTATCCATCACGTTAAATTAAGTAACAATTCACATGTGCACATGTATGCAAGTTATTTAAATTTTTCTTCTATCATGTATGGAATGAATTTTGAGCTCAAACATTAAAGTTCTTGCTATACAGAAAAAAAAAATTTTTCATCAATCCAAAAAACGTTTATTTGAATGGAAACGTAAATTTTTCATCCGAATTACATATGTATTTATTCAAAGTTATCAAATATTACGTCGTAATAAAACAATTTGTTTGATTTAAATTAATTTTATTTGATTTAAACAAATATTTATATTATTTATTTAAATATTTTTGTTTGTATTCAAACAAACGTTGACTTGGATGGACGACATTTTTTTTAGTGATGCTCAGTGAGTCAAAGAGGTTAATTAGGAAATAAAAGGCAAATCTAGTTTATTAAGATACAGTTTTATTAGGACATCAAGCATCAACAATTTCTTTTTTGTTATTAATAAAACGATGAATTTATTTATGAAAATACATATGATTGTAATTTGTACATTTCTACTGACAGACTTTGTATCAGACACGCATTATTTACATAAAACATCCAGTGAAATGTTCAACTTACTGAGTTTTGAGGTTATCAGTAAAAGGTTTTGAGGTTAATAGTAAAGAGATTTTTCCCTTTCATCATATTTGAAGCACAAACTAATTGTAAGCGTCAATTGAGCGTAACTCATCCAAATAACAATATCCGTGTCATCTACATAATGAAGGTTATTTTCGAAAATAAAATTAAAAACTACATTAATATTTAATGATGAAAACAAAAACTTATTGCGTTTCTTTCCAATTTCTATACATCTACAATATAATATTCAATATAAAGTTAATAATGGTTTTGTTCAAGTGAGTATTGCAACAAAAAATCTGTGCATTTTTTCTTGATTTCGTAACGGAGAGAAAAATGAACTAAATTTCTGTTGTTCGTACCAAACATATTTAATTAAAATTTTGTGTGATGTTGAGAAAAATCAAGCTATCAGTCAGAGGCAAGGTGAAAATAATTTCTCAAACAGACAGTAATTTTTTTATTGTTGTATTTATTCGTAGCAATGTTTCGCTGGTCTGACGTGCCAGCCTTATCTGGCTAAATCAAACAAAAAACAAAAAAAAACAAAAAGCCAAAAACAATGAAGGCACTGAAGGAAACGTTTCACTAACAGACAAGTGAGTGACGTTATCACGAAATTAGTTTTGATTCTCGAGGTAACAATTCCATTTTCTGTATTTCGATAGCTGAAATTATGCATTGTGAAGTGTTGCGTTCAGTGTATTTACTGTTTTTTATTTTTTTATTTTTTTATTTAGCCTGATGAGGCTGGCACACCAGACCAGCGAAACGTTTCTACGAATAAATACAACAATTTAAATAATGATTAATCTATGTTATATAAATTATTTTCACGTTGCCTCCGACCGATCGCTTGATTTTTCTCGATATCACAAAACAATGGAGGGCATCGATATTCATATGATTAAATACAATTTTGTGATTTAAATAAGCTGTTTAATTTCATCTCGAAAAGTTGTAAACCAATTTTTTTCATGAAGCCTTTTTAATTCTATTGACGGAATTTTTTTTATTCGTGTCTTTATTTTTCTTTTAACCCCGACAACTAATTATGTTATATAATAATGGAAGAACACTCATATTTTCTTACATTGCCGCGTAAATGTGAAACGAAGGTTCTAATATAGACCACAAAGCGCTAATAGTAGGTGAATACACCAAATTATATAAAAGAGATACTTGTGTATTTTAAACGAACATGGAACTTGTGAAACATAAATTGTTTGATCAGTACAAATTGTCCAGTTAAATCATAATGAAATTTTTATTAAATTAGTCGAATGCTGGTATAATATTAGTAATACAAAAATTTTGTTAATTTAATGAAAATTTCACTATACCTAAGTCTAGAAGAATAAATTTCAAAAAATTAAATAAAAAATTAAGTTAAATTTATAAATTCATACACAAGTTTGTACTGAACTTTTACAAAAATATGCTCAAAGACAAAAAGTGTCAGTGATACATACATTTATCCTTATCGGCCCTTAACAATGGTGTACAATTATTATTATACCTACTCTCCGTGGATTATCTAATAGAAATGCAACAAAAATTCCTTTCTCATACATACATACATGCATGCCAAAAATTTCCTACTCAGATACTATGTACACGCGTATGCACATATGAATACATATACATATGTTATTCATGCAAATACATATGCACACATGTTTATGGTATGTATAAATACATTCTATCCCACGTCGAAATTTTATGGCCCCCTGTTAAGTCATTTCTAGTACAATACCGCTGCCGTTTACCTCTAACTTCGAGCCGAGGGACTTCCGAGAAAATTTAAATCCACAGTTGTTCGAAGGGATGTCTGACACACAACTTTCCAATACAAAATATCGAGCCTCGTGCTCTCCCTGCGTCCAATGAATAATGGAGCTCGGATACTCGTCTCGCCTGAGCGTGACACATCTGGATTGTGAAGGAGTCGTTTCGGCATTTTCGTGAATTTTATTACCGAGTAAGAATTAGAGGATATTTTTGGGCGGTTGAATTACTGGTATTTTACAACTCTCGGAGCTCCCGCCACAGCAAATTTTTTTCTAGCGTCACTTTAAAACGATGCCTGACCACGTGCACAGTCGAATACGGCCATTATTGTGTCCATGACATTTCTCGTTCGTCGTGAACGAATACGGATATCGCGTCATCTGTAGTGAACGCAGTGGCGTTTTTTAGCGTTTGTTTGTGCGTAGGTGAATCGGAGTTTTTTATTTAATCGTAAACTAAAGAATCGTGAACTTGTGTTTACATACGAGATGGTTAAATAAGCAATAAAATAGGACATTCAAACAAATAACAAATTTGAGTGCTTGAACTGTATTATAAAGGCAGTTTCTAATTTAACAATTGGGTAAGTTTTTGTTTTCAATGTGACAAAGTAATTTGCCTAATAATTTTAAGAACCTCGTTATACCGAATAATCAGTTATTTTTCATGTTAAAAAATCAGAGTCCATTAATATCGAAAAAAATGACATATAGGTTAAAAATTTAAATTATTTAACAAAATTAAAAACTAATTTATTAATTAATTAATGGAACTTTAAACAAATTTTTAAATGTTATTTTTTTTAGAAATTCAGATTGAAAAGAAAAAGAAGAAATTCATAAGTACAAAATTCGATAAATTATTATGATGTTAAAAAAAAATACTAACTTTTGTTGCATATGTATCCTCATAATTTAGCAAGAGTTTTCTAACAGCAAATGAAATTTTAATTAATGTTTTAATGAAAGGCCACTATTTATCAAAAAAATTCCTACAAGATGGATACTAATAAAATATTGTTCCTTTTTAATTAAATGTAGTACAGAGTTCGACATAAAATAAATCACTTTGGGATTTCTGTCTAATATATGTGAAAAAATGTGACTTTTCCTAACTATGAGCAGAGAAAATTTGCAATGATTAAAAGTAAAAGCAAGTACTCTAAATTCTGATCCAATGATTATTTTTGGTCTTTTTGTTCACAGAAAAACAGTTTACCCAACAAATCGTCAATTATATTAGAATGATAGGTTGCCATCAATCATAATTTCTAAAAAAACCAACAACAATACCTACAGCAACAAACAACTGAGACTACACCTAGGAATACAATGTCCAAATGCCGTAAACAGGATCTCAAAGAAAAGGATGAGCCAAAGAGAGGGATGAATAGGTCCCACCTATGCGACTTGTGTGGAAAAACATTCACCGCGAACTCTCGTTTAAAAATCCACAAATATATTCACACGAACGAGAAGCCATTCAAATGCTCGGATTGTCCGGAACAATTTATCCAAAAAAGCGATCTCACGAGACACATGCGCGTCCACACCGGTCAAGTTATCGGTCAGTGCTCGGTCTGTGACAGGTCATTCGTAAACTCGGGCAATCTTCAAAGGCATTTGAGAATCCACGCAGGCGAGCGTCCTCATGACTGTTCGATGTGTAAAAAAAGATTTTCCTCTTCTAGCAACTTGAAAGTACACATGCGTATTCACACGCAGGAAAGACCGTACAAGTGTTCGGAATGTCAGAAGAGTTTCACCCAATTTGGTGATCTCACAAGGCACGCAAGAATCCATACGGGTGAGAAACCCTTCAAATGTTCAGTGTGTGCAGCGTATTTTAGATATAAACACCATCTTACGACTCATATGCGCGTCCACACGCGTCAAGTTTATGGTCAGTGCGCCATCTGTCTAAGGTCATTTATCAACCGTACCGGCCTAAAAAGGCACATGCTCATTCATACGAGTAAGCGTTCCTCTTCTCACAAAAAGCTCAATAAAGTGGACATTAGCTAAAAAATTTTCTGCTAAAAGTTGTATATTGCAATAGCCCAATCAAGTGTTGCGTTTTTTTTTTGCTGTTACAATGGGAGCTTCTACCTTACCGATAACCTTACTTCAACATATTTTCACTGATTTAAGCAAAATAATGACAAGAGTCATGGAGCCGGTACATTGAGGAATTATTCAAGCCAAAATTTATCATAATTCATTGAGGACTGAGCTAGTAAAATGCAATGCTTGATCATAAAGGAGTACCGAGGTATAAGATAATAAAATTCTGACTAATGTGCAACTTCAACGATCAACTTGCAACTTCTTTGCCTTAACTCTGTCAGATTATGATAAATTTTGGCTTGAATAATTTCTCAACATACCAGCTTGGTGTCATCATTTTTCGTAAAAGTATAGCTATACAAAGTTTCTAATTAATGAATACGTATTGAGCCCAGGCTGTCGATAAGGTAGAAACTCTTGCTAATACACCGAATACCCAGGGGCCGTAGTTGCCTTGCCCTAAACTAGTATTTAAAATTCTGTCAACTTACATGACTATATGACCCGCTGACTATTAGTTGTACTTTAAATACAAGAAAGTAAAATTAATCGACTAGAGTTAGGATAATATAAGTAAAAAATATTAGTTTGTAAGAAATTCTGTACTGCTGTACTGTTTTTGATTGGAACTTTATTTTATATTTCAGTTGGTGGCATATACGTACACTAAGTTATTTAACCAAAAAGGAAAAATTCATTTGTTATCATTTTTTGCCCATCCACTGTACCTACTTGATAAGTACTAATTTTCACTTTGTAAAAACCTTTCTTCACAAATTTGATTCTCATAAAATTAGTTTGTAAATAAAATAATTATATAATTGTTTCTAATTTTTTTGAAAAGTGTTATTATTTTAAAAACAAAATGTCACCCAAAAATTTTGTGTAAAAATATTTTAAAAAACAAGCATATGATTACATGTCACACATTTACATATAATTACTTATACACATTCCATGAATTATACCCATAATTTGACATAAACATTTCAGACGCGACTGAAAAGACGAAAAAGGTCTACTTACGCTCGTACTTACGTGCAGCTGCCGAATTTGTGAAATTACAAAAAGTTATTAAAAAAGATAGTAGCATATAAACGAAAAAATCTATCTTGCATAATCGTTCAAAGCAAGTTTCAACTGTGCAAACTCAAACACCACGAAAGCAAGATAGGACGGCAAGTTTGAGAACTACTAACGTAGTTTTTGATAAATTAAATTAAAGCGCTGATGGCTTTGAGGTTCGAAAACTAAAATCTTGCACTACCAAGTCATCCCTTCTACCCTTTATCATCTGTACTTGGTCTCTTTGATCAGAATCGATTCTTTTCCATGCACAATATTCCCATCGAGTTTCCGCCGATAAGAGACGTCATGTGATATCTACGTAAACAAATCGATGCTGAATAACTTTCTCCGGTGCAGGGAAGGAGTAAAAAGGACAAAGTCAGGTGTCGGTGAGTCAAGTTTCGAGATTTCGCGCAAAGGAGTGGGTGCCCAACAGTCGCCCGAAGAACGTCGAAGATATTATACACTTTACTGCGTCGAAAGTTTTCTTCGAGCTATAGGCTGTGTACACGTTGAAAGTGAGTTTGTAATCGGTTCGTTCCACTGCCTTCGTTGGATCATTTCACTCGACGAATTTCGCGTTAAATGATGTAAAAGGAAGTTCAGTAAGCGATGCGACTATTTTAACTGTTGGGTTTCAATTTTGGTTTATTATCTTTTTTTGTTTTTTTTTTCTACTCAGAAAACACTATGAACTGGATTTTTTTTATTTTTGTTTTTTCATTGTTGGCAAACGGATACGTTGGAAACAACAGAGTATAGAACAGAATGAAAAAGTTTTTTCCTTCTTTCGCAACTGAATGGTTTTTCAATCTCGAGTTTGTGTATTGTCTGGGAGGAAAGTTTTGAAAAGTGTCGTGAAAATAGATGTGCTACTGCCAATTAGATGTTACCCCCGTGATACTTCGAAAGTACGACTTTTCCATCCTTCTTTGTTCGATGAACAGATGAATATACATCTCGATGCATTGTATACAGTTCTGTGCGTTATAAAGTATCGACTAACAGTGTTCACGAGTACTATTTTTTTCTTTGGATAGCAAATGACAGTTCAATGAAATTCTTCAACAAGTGAATGTAACTTTTGTACTCCAAAGATGTATCGTGTAGGGCGTTTTTTTCACGTTAAAAACTTTTTTCTGGTTTAATCAACAAAATCCTATTTCACAGTTACGTTGCGATGTTGCAAGGAGTAAACTCGATTATTATCCATACGAGAGCGACCAAGCCCTCGGAAGCTTTATAGTGCTATCTCCTTGACCCGAGGGTCGATGTTGGAGTGCTGATCAGAGCACTTTGGTCTCCCGGTAATTGAATACATATATATAGGATGGACGACATTNTCGAAATATATATATATATATATATACACGTGCACAAACGCGCTATGCATCATGCGTCATAATGTCGAGGGTAACGTGACACCCTTACTATCCCTTGAATCCATGAATCAAAGGGTAAAATGTACGAAATTTTGGCTTGAAATTTTAAAATTTGATGCTGAAAATTGTACCATTTTAATGTATGTTACGTAAAAATAGGTACTACCTATCTATTTTAATTTTTTGATGATCTCGGATGATACATTTTATTTGTTTAATTTGGTTATAGGAACAAGAAAGTAGGAAAATTTATTTAATTAAGTAAAACAAATTTTTTTCAAAAGATCGACTGAAAGAATATTTTTATTTAAAAATTGACGTTAATAAGCTAGAGAGAATGCGTCATATATATATTTAAATTATGAAGCAATTTTTTATTTTATTTTTTTTCAAAAGGTAAATCAAAAAACATTTAAAAAAATAATAATGTCATTGGCAAACATGACAGTATAATATTACAATATTATTGCATACAAGCTGTTTAACCAGAATTTAAAAAAAGATCTAGTTGTCAGTACGTTGTGTGACATGCAAATAAACATCAATACCTTTATCCATTAAAAATCCAGAGGGTACCTTTTCCAGCTTCAAAAAAAGAGATGCTACTTGCTTTTTTTCCTCTCGAGCATCAAATCCGTACAGCTTTTAGTTTCCCCTCGTCGTTGAGAGATAGCAGATTTCATCGAAATCCTTATTACGCTGCTGCGTCATCGCGTCTCCGTCGAGATATAAATTATACTCATAAAACGAACGGAAGTGCAGACCTCGACGGAGAGAAGCGATGATATTTTCTGCCTTTTCCCCCTTCCCCTGTTTTTTTTTATTTTTTTATTTCTAGCTCGACTTTACTTTCGTTGCGATCGTTCGTCTTCATCAACTTCGGAAATTTGCTTAGCCACGCAGGCCCCGGTGCTCTATGCCGATGATATTTTAAATACGCCTGCCGGTTGTATGTTTTTTTTTTTTTTTTTCGAAAACCAACAACAAAAACCACGTGTCCCACTTACAATTGCTTCCACCGAGATCTATGTGTAAAATGTGTAAAAAAAAAAACAGTAAAACAACACCTGGTGAAAATATATAATGCGTTGTAAATGAGAACCGAAGAAAAACAAAAATAAAAAAGGAAAATTTCCCAACATGTACGAAAGACCTAAAGTCTCTCCCATCATCCGGGGACGTTAATCTCTACGCCAGCACTTAAGATCACCTGCTCCTTCGGTAAGTACACGAGAAAAAAGCTCGAGGTACCAGCTGCGCCTCTCCACCCCGAAAACGCCACTTAATCACCTAATAATCCTCCCTTTCAAATTCATCTGGTAAAAAATGACCCACGTCCCTCGCAAGCTTCCTCGAGTGTAATAAAAGACGACGGACATTTGTTTTTTTTTTTTTTTTTTTTTTGCCCCAACGAGCGAGTAATTAATGGTGTACGTACAAACAACTGTGCCTCGGAGCTTTTTTTTCATTTGCGCGATCTACCCCGTGACAGTGACGGATTTCGCCGTCCCTCCCCTCGATATCGGACGTCACCGGACTGCTGCACTCACTTGTCCGCGTTTCTTGTTCTTGATTCTTTTTTTTTCACGCCGAATACAAATTGATCGATAGATAGTTGCTGCCGTGATTTTTGTCGATTCACCTGTCCCGTTTATCGTACGTGTATACGGAGATATCAAACGCTATACGCAGAGTGAGCCTGCGATTGGGTCTATTGGGCGTAAAAAAAACTACATGCGACAAATGGACCCGCGGATTTGGACATTCATACCTTCGTACATCAAAACCTTTTTACTTTTTTTTCTAATATTTCAATATTTCTTGAAATATTTCATGACGATTCTTTATGCTCTAAGAATACATCAGAAAAATTGTTGTTGTTCATATGATATTGTATAAGTATATACAGTAATGATGAAATAGAATTTTAGGTGTATCGTGTGCGAATATTGTCACCCACGCGTGACAGTAACGAGTTGCGTCAGCTGTTTTTTGACACCCATTTAGCGCAGATTTCAACCGACAGATATCAGTGCACTAAGCGATTAATTTTCATACTTGTGCTTAAGATAAGTGTAAAAAAAAGTATACAACATGTGCGGTGTTGGAGTCAATGACTTCGCTAGCTCTGACCAGTCATAATAAGATGAACTTTGTACACCGAGTCAGTATATCGAACAATTAGTGTCTGAAGCTCAACGTCTACTTAAAGGTATTCAATTGAAATTCGTAGAGTAGGGGTGAAAAAAAAAAAAATTTCACACGTAGTGCAAGATTCGATCATTTCGCAAAGCAGGCAAGAGAAAAGTCAAACTTTGTACTCTAAGTACGTGTAAGAAAACACTATTTCGCACACGGTGCTGGAATCGAGCATCGCAAGCACGAGAAGTTACACTTGGCCCACTAAATTTGAACAAGAAAATTTACTCTTAAGGTGCTTAAAAATCTATGAAATAATGTTCCCCAAATCTGTATACTTTTTAAAACGCGTGTTGGGGATCGCACTTGCACATCAGGTGTGATTCGAGCGTCTCCACAATCGAGGCGATTTTTCCCCCCGTCACGAGGTGGATAAAAGAAAACAAAAAAAACCTTTTTTTTTGCAAAAACGTTTAATCACCAACAACACTCGCGCGCATTACAAATCGTACAGTGAGTCCCCCCAGAAGGCAATTCGCGCGACAT